GGGGGGGATGCACCAATACCAGTATTTTGGTACCGATCATTTTTTTCCGGTACTCGCCGATACCAAGTACCGAGTACCGGAAGTCCCATTCAGGAAGCCAGGCGCTGTGTAATGACTCGCCACCCGGCTTCCCGATTAACAATCACGTCCGTCCCCTCTTACCATGTCCAGCCCGTCACCCCCGGGGCCTCTCCAGCCAGAACGCGGCCTTCCCCCGGTACCCAACGCTGGAGCTGTCTGGCCGGCCAATGAGGAAGCCGGGCGCCGAGTAACGACGCGATGCCCTGCTTTCTGATTGACCAGGAGGCCGGCTCCACGCTCCCTCATCATGAAATGACGAGGGAGCATGAAGCCAGCTTCCCGGGCCAATCAGAATTCCGGGCGCTGCGTCATTACACGGCGCCCGGGTTCCTGATTGGCCGGGAAGTCGGCTCCATGCTCTATCACAAGTGACGAGCCGCTTCCCGGCCAATCAGCAAGCTGGGCGCCGTGTAATGACGCGCTGCCCGGTTTCCTGATACCGTAAGTAACCGTGCTAGGCAATGGAGCATTTGGGTGAGTGCTGGCCCAAATACTCGGTATCGACACCGATATCCATACTACTATCGGTGCGTCCCTAACATATACCATTACCACTGGGGCTGGATATATACTAATCTACAATATCTGCAATCTCCCCCCTATCAATATACAGCATTGTGCACCCAAACCTGGTGTATGGAAGGATCAGTCTGCATGTAACTGGGTACAGTATATGGACTTAATACCCGAGGTGCTCATTCTTTGCACATGATCTGCTAAATTGGTGCATAAAATGGTGTGAGACATTGTGAGAACTCCTTCCCCCGTATTTGGTACATATAAGATGGAAACGTCCCTTCATCTATAAACACTCTGCAGGTTTAATCTGTGCATGGGCCTCAAGTCAAGGGAGTCATTGGGGAGAAATCCATGGAACGAGTAGGGTCTGGCCAGGCGAGTGGTGTCCTACACTATGGCTTTGTGACTTTGCAACATTTGCAATAAAGTTTGTTGGATATCAAGAAAAAAAAAAAAAAAAGGTTAAAAAAGGGAGAACTATGAGGTCAGGGCTTTTCCCCATAGTTCTCCTAAGGGTAACGGGAGGACACAAACTAGCGTCCTCCCACCACCCTAAGCTCAGTATATAGAGAGCTACAGCTCGCGGTATTCTGAGACGCCGCAGCCGGGATGGGTCCCAACATTACTGTCTGGATCCACCCAGCTGGCTGATTGACAGCTGGCTCTGCCTATCTAGATGCAGAGTCAGCTGTGCCCGCCCCCATCCTTTCCGCCAGTCAGTGCTGGAGGATCGGAGCAGGGAGGGGGGAATCCAGTCCCTCCCCTGTCACGGAAGAGAGCCGTGACAGGATCGAGAAGTGAGCGAACGCCGGTATGTGTTCGCTCACTTCCCGATCTACTGAGCCGACCTGTGACAGTCTCATTGCCACACGTCGGCTCAGATTATGAGGATGAGTGAAAATCACTCACCTCATAGTTCTCCTTTAAAGAGCAGAACGTTTATCTGGACAGCGCCGGGGTAACAGATCCCAGTAGGAGTGCGCCCGCAGACGATGGGCAATCCGTAAGGCGCCCTGGAGTCATACTTCTATTATGTACGCTTCCTCCGTGGAAGGAACAGGTTCACTTTAATGCAATGCACATGTGTAGTTTCCTCTCACTCACCCGCCGCTGTGATCAGCTGACAGGACTGAAACAAAGAAGGATTCTCCAGAGCTTACAGCAAGCTAGAGGTTCCCCCTGATGGGCCCAGCGCCGTGATACAGAGCGGGAGGGTGTGAGCAATGAATGAGGAGTGTTAAAGCACACACGTCGCTTCACCCTGAACGGGGGAGGGGACGGGTTTGCTTTGCACTGACTCACAAGTGTGTCCCTTTAAGACCACGTTCATCCAATCAACACTCACCAAGACTTGATCAGACGTCAGATCCTTCAGGTGAGGCAGGAGGCAACTCTCGCTGTATGCCGCAGTCACAATCGTGTTTCTGGGTACACGCAAATTAAGGAAGCAAAGCAATAAGAAAATGTATCCACCCCCCACAAAACCACACCCCCACATCGCCTTTATCGCTCCCTCGCTCCAGAAAGCCACGCCATCTTTGTTCCGAAGTCATCCGCTGTCACCATCTTTTAAACCCAGACATTAGCAGGGTGGAATTTCGCGGCGGAAAGGCTTAAAAAAGGAGCCGAAATGTAAAGCGGTTATTTTTGCCGTCGTCTCTGTAACCATTGAATGTCAGAGACCCGCAATATCAGAGACCCGCACCCGAATGTCAGAGACCCGAATGTCAGAGACCCGCACCCGAATGTCAGAGACCCGACTGTCAGAGACCCGCACCCGAATGTCAGAGACCCGAATGTCAGAGACCCGCAATATCAGAGACCCGCACCCGAATGTCAGAGACCCGCAATATCAGAGACCGGCACCCGAATGTCAGAGACCCGAACCCGAATGTCAGAGACCCGCACACGAATGTCAGAGACCCGAATGTCAGAGACCCGAACGTCAGAGACCCGAACGTCAGAGACCCGAACGTCAGAGACCCGAACGTCAGAGACCCGAACGTCAGAGACCCGAACGTCAGAGACCCGAACGTCAGAGACCCGAACGTCAGAGACCCGAACGTCAGAGACCCGAACGTCAGAGACCCGAACGTCAGAGACCCGAACGTCAGAGACCCGAACGTCAGAGACCCGAACGTCAGAGACCCGAACGTCAGAGACCCGAACGTCAGAGACCCGAACGTCAGAGACCCGAACGTCAGAGACCCGAACGTCAGAGACCCGAACGTCAGAGACCCGAACGTCAGAGACCCGAACGTCAGAGACCCGAACGTCAGAGACCCGAACGTCAGAGACCCGAACGTCAGAGACCCGAACGTCAGAGACCCGAACGTCAGAGACCCGAACGTCAGAGACCCGAACGTCAGAGACCCGAACGTCAGAGACCCGAACGTCAGAGACCCGAACGTCAGAGACCCGAACGTCAGAGACCCGAACGTCAGAGACCCGAACGTCAGAGACCCGAACGTCAGAGACCCGAACGTCAGAGACCCGAACGTCAGAGACCCGAACGTCAGAGACCCGAACGTCAGAGACCCGAACGTCAGAGACCCGAACGTCAGAGACCCGAACGTCAGAGACCCGAACGTCAGAGACCCGAACGTCAGAGACCCGAACGTCAGAGACCCGAACGTCAGAGACCCGAACGTCAGAGACCCGAACGTCAGAGACCCGAACGTCAGAGACCCGAACGTCAGAGACCCGAACGTCAGAGACCCGAACGTCAGAGACCCGAACGTCAGAGACCCGAACGTCAGAGACCCGAACGTCAGAGACCCGAACGTCAGAGACCCGAACGTCAGAGACCCGAACGTCAGAGACCCGAACGTCAGAGACCCGAACGTCAGAGACCCGAACGTCAGAGACCCGAACGTCAGAGACCCGAACGTCAGAGACCCGAACGTCAGAGACCCGAACGTCAGAGACCCGAACGTCAGAGACCCGAACGTCAGAGACCCGAACGTCAGAGACCCGAACGTCAGAGACCCGAACGTCAGAGACCCGAACGTCAGAGACCCGAACGTCAGAGACCCGAACGTCAGAGACCCGAACGTCAGAGACCCGAACGTCAGAGACCCGAACGTCAGAGACCCGAACGTCAGAGACCCGAACGTCAGAGACCCGAACGTCAGAGACCCGAACGTCAGAGACCCGAACGTCAGAGACCCGAACGTCAGAGACCCGAACGTCAGAGACCCGAACGTCAGAGACCCGAACGTCAGAGACCCGAACGTCAGAGACCCGAACGTCAGAGACCCGAACGTCAGAGACCCGAACGTCAGAGACCCGAACGTCAGAGACCCGAACGTCAGAGACCCGAACGTCAGAGACCCGAACGTCAGAGACCCGAACGTCAGAGACCCGAACGTCAGAGACCCGAACGTCAGAGACCCGAACGTCAGAGACCCGAACGTCAGAGACCCGAACGTCAGAGACCCGAACGTCAGAGACCCGAACGTCAGAGACCCGAACGTCAGAGACCCGAACGTCAGAGACCCGAACGTCAGAGACCCGAACGTCAGAGACCCGAACGTCAGAGACCCGAACGTCAGAGACCCGAACGTCAGAGACCCGAACGTCAGAGACCCGAACGTCAGAGACCCGAACGTCAGAGACCCGAACGTCAGAGACCCGAACGTCAGAGACCCGAACGTCAGAGACCCGAACGTCAGAGACCCGAACGTCAGAGACCCGAACGTCAGAGACCCGAACGTCAGAGACCCGAACGTCAGAGACCCGAACGTCAGAGACCCGAACGTCAGAGACCCGAACGTCAGAGACCCGAACGTCAGAGACCCGAACGTCAGAGACCCGAACGTCAGAGACCCGAACGTCAGAGACCCGAACGTCAGAGACCCGAACGTCAGAGACCCGAACGTCAGAGACCCGAACGTCAGAGACCCGAACGTCAGAGACCCGAACGTCAGAGACCCGAACGTCAGAGACCCGAACGTCAGAGACCCGAACGTCAGAGACCCGAACGTCAGAGACCCGAACGTCAGAGACCCGAACGTCAGAGACCCGAACGTCAGAGACCCGAACGTCAGAGACCCGAACGTCAGAGACCCGAACGTCAGAGACCCGAACGTCAGAGACCCGAACGTCAGAGACCCGAACGTCAGAGACCCGAACGTCAGAGACCCGAACGTCAGAGACCCGAACGTCAGAGACCCGAACGTCAGAGACCCGAACGTCAGAGACCCCGCACGCGAATATCAGAGACCCGCACCCGAATGTCAGAGACCCGAATGTCAGAGACCCGAATGTCAGAGACCCGAATGTCAGAGACCCGAATGTCAGAGACCCGCACCCGAATGTCAGAGACCCGCACCCGAATGTCAGAGACCCGCACCCGAATGTCAGAGACCCGCACCCGAATGTCAGAGACCCGCACCCGAATGTCAGAGACCCGCACCCGAATGTCAGAGACCCGCACCCGAATGTCAGAGACCCGCACCCGAATGTCAGAGACCCGCACCCGAATGTCAGAGACCCGCACCCGAATGTCAGAGACCCGCACCCGAATGTCAGAGACCCGAATGTCAGAGAGCCGCACAATGGCAGGGATGGAAGGATACAACAAGACGGCCCGTTTCAGGCTGACGGGACAGGCCGTCTTCTTCTCTGCTTTCTGCGCAGCTCTATTAGGCGTCTGGATGTCACAGCTGTCGTCCTCCGCACCCCCGGGACTGAACCCGTTCTGGATGACGGACCCAGCTGGCGGTTCCTTTGGGTTGTCCGCTATATCAGAGGCCTCCTCCTCCACCTCGATATAAGACTCCGCGGAGGCCGTTTTCAAGATGGCGTCACACAGGATATCGTCACCGGTACTGAAAGACGGCGCAGAATATTAACATGAGAGAAGGGCGAACACTGAACACCAATGAAGGCCTTAGGGGCTGACGCATTCACTTAATCTGGCCTTAAATCCCAACATCTGACTAGCACTCAGATGATTTTCTATGTCCAGGTCACATTTTAGGGGTGACTTTGGGGCTCACCTGAGGAACATCTTTAGACAGGAGCACATCACTGCCTCCGGGACGTCAATAAACCGGCGGAGACAACATTGAAGGAGTCGAACATCTGACCTCTCCAGACCAAAAGGCATCAGATCCGGACACAGGCTGCAATACACAAAGATGAAAGTATATCCGAGCCCACCTCTCCTCATTAACATTATTACTACCGCTGGCAGCAGCCATGGCTCCTATATATCTAGCATGTGAATATACACAGGATACAAAATGGAGGCACATTGCGGAATAGGTCACGTGACACACCAGAGACGGCCAATACGCACCTGTAAGACAACTTTCTGGTTTCAATGAGAGTAATCAGAGCACTTTGGGGGTTAAACTTGGGGTCACGCCTGCACCGGTCCACCAGTGCTTGCCCCATCTTCCCAGCGGTGATCTGGAACTCCGGAAGAGTCAGGCTGGACATGGCCTTCCGCACAAGAGCAGAGATCTCCATCTCAGAGGCACTCTGCAGACAACACAGGAAATGAATGACTTCCCAGTACAGACCACACGTGTCACCACGGATCGGAGGCGGGGAATACGTCACCTACCTGAAGGTCTGAGAGAGAGACTTCAAACGCACATCCACCGTCACCGCTGTCCTCACCTCGCCGAGACTGCACAGAAACATCATCGGTCAGATGGGAAGGAGCAGAGTCCTCCAGCAGAGCAGAGTATATCAGGAGAGGAGAGTTATAGGGGAAGGAGCAGAGTCCTCCAGCAGAGCAGAGTATCTCAGGAGAGGAGAGTTATAGAGGAAGGAGCAGAGTCCTCCAGCAGAGTATATCAGGAGAGGAGAGTTATAGGGGAAGGAGCAGAGTCCTCCAGCAGAGCAGAGTATCTCAGGAGAGGAGAGTTATAGAGGAAGGAGCAGAGTCCTCCAGCAGAGTATATCAGGAGAGGAGAGTTATAGGGGAAGGAGCAGAGTCCTCCAGCAGAGCAGAGTATCTCAGGAGAGGAGAGTTATAGAGGAAGGAGCAGAGTCCTCCAGCAGAGTATATCAGGAGAGGAGAGTTATAGGGGAAGGAGCAGAGTCCTCCAGCAGAGCAGAGTATCTCAGGAGAGGAGAGTTATAGAGGAAGGAGCAGAGTCCTCCAGCAGAGTATATCAGGAGAGGAGAGTTATAGGGGAAGGAGCAGAGTCCTCCAGCAGAGCAGAGTATCTCAGGAGAGGAGAGTTATAGAGGAAGGAGCAGAGTCCTCCAGCAGAGTATATCAGGAGAGGAGAGTTATAGGGGAAGGAGCAGAGTCCTCCAGCAGAGCAGAGTATCTCAGGAGAGGAGAGTTATAGAGGAAGGAGCAGAGTCCTCCAGCAGAGTATATCAGGAGAGGAGAGTTATAGGGGAAGGAGCAGAGTCCTCCAGCAGAGCAGAGTATCTCAGGAGAGGAGAGTTATAGAGGAAGGAGCAGAGTCCTCCAGCAGAGTATATCAGGAGAGGAGAGTTATAGGGGAAGGAGCAGAGTCCTCCAGCAGAGCAGAGTATCTCAGGAGAGGAGAGTTATAGAGGAAGGAGCAGAGTCCTCCAGCAGAGTATATCAGGAGAGGAGAGTTATAGGGGAAGGAGCAGAGTCCTCCAGCAGAGCAGAGTATCTCAGGAGAGGAGAGTTATAGAGGAAGGAGCAGAGTCCTCCAGCAGAGTATATCAGGAGAGGAGAGTTATAGGGGAAGGAGCAGAGTCCTCCAGCAGAGCAGAGTATCTCAGGAGAGGAGAGTTATAGAGGAAGGAGCAGAGTCCTCCAGCAGAGTATATCAGGAGAGGAGAGTTATAGGGGAAGGAGCAGAGTCCTCCAGCAGAGCAGAGTATCTCAGGAGAGGAGAGTTATAGAGGAAGGAGCAGAGTCCTCCAGCAGAGTATATCAGGAGAGGAGAGTTATAGGGGAAGGAGCAGAGTCCTCCAGCAGAGCAGAGTATCTCAGGAGAGGAGAGTTATAGAGGAAGGAGCAGAGTCCTCCAGCAGAGTATATCAGGAGAGGAGAGTTATAGGGGAAGGAGCAGAGTCCTCCAGCAGAGCAGAGTATCTCAGGAGAGGAGAGTTATAGAGGAAGGAGCAGAGTCCTCCAGCAGAGTATATCAGGAGAGGAGAGTTATAGGGGAAGGAGCAGAGTCCTCCAGCAGAGCAGAGTATCTCAGGAGAGGAGAGTTATAGAGGAAGGAGCAGAGTCCTCCAGCAGAGTATATCAGGAGAGGAGAGTTATAGGGGAAGGAGCAGAGTCCTCCAGCAGAGCAGAGTATCTCAGGAGAGGAGAGTTATAGAGGAAGGAGCAGAGTCCTCCAGCAGAGTATATCAGGAGAGGAGAGTTATAGGGGAAGGAGCAGAGTCCTCCAGCAGAGCAGAGTATCTCAGGAGAGGAGAGTTATAGAGGAAGGAGCAGAGTCCTCCAGCAGAGTATATCAGGAGAGGAGAGTTATAGGGGAAGGAGCAGAGTCCTCCAGCAGAGCAGAGTATCTCAGGAGAGGAGAGTTATAGAGGAAGGAGCAGAGTCCTCCAGCAGAGTATATCAGGAGAGGAGAGTTATAGGGGAAGGAGCAGAGTCCTCCAGCAGAGCAGAGTATCTCAGGAGAGGAGAGTTATAGAGGAAGGAGCAGAGTCCTCCAGCAGAGTATATCAGGAGAGGAGAGTTATAGGGGAAGGAGCAGAGTCCTCCAGCAGAGCAGAGTATCTCAGGAGAGGAGAGTTATAGAGGAAGGAGCAGAGTCCTCCAGCAGAGTATATCAGGAGAGGAGAGTTATAGGGGAAGGAGCAGAGTCCTCCAGCAGAGCAGAGTATCTCAGGAGAGGAGAGTTATAGAGGAAGGAGCAGAGTCCTCCAGCAGAGTATATCAGGAGAGGAGAGTTATAGGGGAAGGAGCAGAGTCCTCCAGCAGAGCAGAGTATCTCAGGAGAGGAGAGTTATAGAGGAAGGAGCAGAGTCCTCCAGCAGAGTATATCAGGAGAGGAGAGTTATAGGGGAAGGAGCAGAGTCCTCCAGCAGAGCAGAGTATCTCAGGAGAGGAGAGTTATAGAGGAAGGAGCAGAGTCCTCCAGCAGAGTATATCAGGAGAGGAGAGTTATAGGGGAAGGAGCAGAGTCCTCCAGCAGAGCAGAGTATCTCAGGAGAGGAGAGTTATAGAGGAAGGAGCAGAGTCCTCCAGCAGAGTATATCAGGAGAGGAGAGTTATAGGGGAAGGAGCAGAGTCCTCCAGCAGAGCAGAGTATCTCAGGAGAGGAGAGTTATAGAGGAAGGAGCAGAGTCCTCCAGCAGAGTATATCAGGAGAGGAGAGTTATAGGGGAAGGAGCAGAGTCCTCCAGCAGAGCAGAGTATCTCAGGAGAGGAGAGTTATAGAGGAAGGAGCAGAGTCCTCCAGCAGAGTATATCAGGAGAGGAGAGTTATAGGGGAAGGAGCAGAGTCCTCCAGCAGAGCAGAGTATCTCAGGAGAGGAGAGTTATAGAGGAAGGAGCAGAGTCCTCCAGCAGAGTATATCAGGAGAGGAGAGTTATAGGGGAAGGAGCAGAGTCCTCCAGCAGAGCAGAGTATCTCAGGAGAGGAGAGTTATAGAGGAAGGAGCAGAGTCCTCCAGCAGAGTATATCAGGAGAGGAGAGTTATAGGGGAAGGAGCAGAGTCCTCCAGCAGAGCAGAGTATCTCAGGAGAGGAGAGTTATAGAGGAAGGAGCAGAGTCCTCCAGCAGAGTATATCAGGAGAGGAGAGTTATAGGGGAAGGAGCAGAGTCCTCCAGCAGAGCAGAGTATCTCAGGAGAGGAGAGTTATAGAGGAAGGAGCAGAGTCCTCCAGCAGAGTATATCAGGAGAGGAGAGTTATAGGGGAAGGAGCAGAGTCCTCCAGCAGAGCAGAGTATCTCAGGAGAGGAGAGTTATAGAGGAAGGAGCAGAGTCCTCCAGCAGAGTATATCAGGAGAGGAGAGTTATAGGGGAAGGAGCAGAGTCCTCCAGCAGAGCAGAGTATCTCAGGAGAGGAGAGTTATAGAGGAAGGAGCAGAGTCCTCCAGCAGAGTATATCAGGAGAGGAGAGTTATAGGGGAAGGAGCAGAGTCCTCCAGCAGAGCAGAGTATCTCAGGAGAGGAGAGTTATAGAGGAAGGAGCAGAGTCCTCCAGCAGAGTATATCAGGAGAGGAGAGTTATAGGGGAAGGAGCAGAGTCCTCCAGCAGAGCAGAGTATCTCAGGAGAGGAGAGTTATAGAGGAAGGAGCAGAGTCCTCCAGCAGAGTATATCAGGAGAGGAGAGTTATAGGGGAAGGAGCAGAGTCCTCCAGCAGAGCAGAGTATCTCAGGAGAGGAGAGTTATAGAGGAAGGAGCAGAGTCCTCCAGCAGAGTATATCAGGAGAGGAGAGTTATAGGGGAAGGAGCAGAGTCCTCCAGCAGAGCAGAGTATCTCAGGAGAGGAGAGTTATAGAGGAAGGAGCAGAGTCCTCCAGCAGAGTATATCAGGAGAGGAGAGTTATAGGGGAAGGAGCAGAGTCCTCCAGCAGAGCAGAGTATCTCAGGAGAGGAGAGTTATAGAGGAAGGAGCAGAGTCCTCCAGCAGAGTATATCAGGAGAGGAGAGTTATAGGGGAAGGAGCAGAGTCCTCCAGCAGAGCAGAGTATCTCAGGAGAGGAGAGTTATAGAGGAAGGAGCAGAGTGCTCCAGCAGAGTATTATAGGAGAGGAGCGTCCAGTAGCTGAGCATGCATGAAGTTCGGTCTTAATACAGACGTAATCAGAGCAGCACTGGAAGCCTTTAGACATCAGAGAGCATTCTGGGTACTTACAGCTTTCTTGGAGCGTTTGCCTGGCGTCGTTTTGCTCTCAGTTACTGTCCCCCAACTTACTATCGGCACACTGTTCAGGGCTGAAAAGAAGAAATCCATTGTAATTACAGGTTGTGAGGCGTCTGCTCAGTTACGTGCCGCAAAGCCGCGCAATTCCAACCGAGCATATGACGAAGGAACGCAGAGCCAAAGACGTCACAACCAGCAGAAGGTGGATATCTAATAATCTGGCCACTCAGTGTATCTAATAATCCGGCCACTAGGTGTATATAATAATCCGGCCACTTGGTGTATCTAATAATCCGGCCACTCGGTGTATATAATAATCCGGCCACTCGGTGCATATAATAATCCGGCCACTCGGTGCATATCCCCAATACTTCCACTGATCACAATGAAGCTCACCTGATCTATGGCTGTCAGCGGCTTTCCCCAGAGCGGAGGCCAGGGATGACGGCTCGCAGATGTAACGTAGAACCCGCAGTTTGCTCCCACGCGGCACGTAGAGCGTATTGTGGTAATTCCAGAGCTGGACGGAGAAGAGAGAGAACGTTCAGTGCGGAGCCGGAGATTTGGGACTCGGAGAGAAGGGAAGATGGACGATCCTGTTCTTACCTGATGGGTCGTCCTCTGTGAGAACTCCTTGCACTCCTGCATGGTCTGGAATGATACGTTCCATATACAGAGGAGATCTGAGAATAAAGAGAACAGAGATCTCCGTTACACGTCATCACGGGGCCACACTGACCATGTAAAGAAGAAGCCGACACTCCGGGATCACAAAGCCGTTCATGTAAACAATGTAAGTTCAGTTTCTGATTTCCATGGTAACTGCAATGTAATGGCTTCCCCTGAGGTAGGAGAGCAGGCGGTCTGCAGACAAGGTTTCGTATTATTACCTTTCTGCTTTGTTGCCGAGGGTGTCAGAGTGGCCAAGTGAGAGTCATCGAGAAGCGTCATAGCTCCGCTATCCACAGGTTCCGATAGTTGGAGGAGAGAAGACAAGGACAACACAATCTCCGACCTGTCGCTGGACTCAACCAAGGGAACCAGAGACTGGCGCACCTTTCCTGTAGAGTCTGGAGGGACAAAAGGAGAGTTCAAATCCCAAACTGGAGAACAGAGACAATTATAACACCGCGTGCCTGTGAGAAACAATCGAGTGTGCTACCAACTGCACCCAACCTGATAGGTTTCACTGTCAAGAGTTCCCGGGTCTGTACCCACGCTGTGCCCATTATGAGGAGCTCCCACCATCCCTGTGCTGAGTTCCCGGGTCTGTACACCCGCTGTGCCCATTATGAGGAGCTCCCACCATCCCTGTGCTGAGTTCCCGGGTCCCCCACCATCCCTGTGCTGAGTTCCCGGGTCTGTACCCCCGCTGTGCCCATTATGAGGGGCTCCCACCATCCCTGTGCTGAGTTCCCGGGTCTGTACCCACGCTGTGCCCATTATGAGGAGCTCCCACCATCCCTGTGCTGAGTTCCCGGGTCTGTACCCCCGATGTGCCCATTATGAGGAGCTCCCACCATCCCTGTGCTGAGTTCCCGGGTCTGTAC